AAATAAATAAATAAATAAAATGTAAAGAGTTCTCAAGTTGTTAAAAAAAAAAAAAAGAAAGAAAAAGAAAACAACAACAAAAGAAAACATTCTATGAGAAGTGGAGTGTATGGCGTCACACTTTTGGGTCACTTCCTATCTCAGGAGGCAACCTGAAATAAATTTTTCCTACTCTTAACCTCCTCTTAGAATTCCTTCTTAAATTTTGGGGGACAAAAACACAACCTATCTGACATGTAGCAGGTTGGGAGTTACATTTTCCCCATATTAATCTAAACCTATGCCCCCACATCACTGCCAAGGGAAAAAAGCTTTCTACCTCCTTTTCCCTTTCCAGATTTCCTGAGCTGCATCTCATAGACCCATAGACAGCACTAAGCCCACTAGCTGGGGTCTAAGTGCTATAGCTGTAGTCTTCCAGCTTCTCATATCAGGGAAAACTCTGAAAAGGAATGGGGAGATACTGAATGCCTCAACTTTACCTAGCACAACACTCATTTCCCATTTTCCAAAAACATGTCGAAGGGATTTATCCTTTGTTCATGAGTTAAGATCATGAGTTAAGTATAGAATGGGTCAAACTATGACCAAACAGTAAGATTATAGTCACTTAGGTAATATTTGATCCAGTAGGGAGACAGGTCACATAGCAAGGGTACATGGAAAGAACAAAGGAAAATAAGTAATGAAATTACTTCATTAAAATTTCATTACTTATTTTCTTTGTCCCTATTGTTTTATATCATTATATACTTTTAGCATGCTGTTAGCAGGGCAGTAAAATAACCTTATGTGGTCACTCAAGAAATCTTGGACCAACCGTGGTGGTGCATGTCTGTAATCCCAGAACTTGGGAGGCTGAGGCAGGAGGATCAACATGAGTTCAAGGCCAGCTGGCACTACATAGTGAGACCCTATCTCAACAACAACAACAACAACAACAACAAAAACAACCCACACAGGGAAAAGGGACATCTCAACAAGTTACACAGCATTTGCCTGGCAAGTGCAACATCCTGAGTTCGATTCCCAGTACCCCCTCAACAACAACAACAACAACAACAAAAATTAAAATAAATAAACAGTCCTAGAGCCCATACGCAAAATCAGTCTGACTGAGGCTAACTAGGTCTTTCCACAAGGTTAAACTCTCCCCATATAAGGAAAGCTGTAACTTTTGGAGTGGAAGTAGTTATCCAGTAGCCTCCTCCTTGTCCCTTCCACACAAAACTTTCTTCTTTTTCAGTTGGGCAGAGGAAAGAGTGTTTTTGAGGCCTTGACTTCAAATCCATAATGAAGTTAAAGAAAAAGTTTAAATAATACTTAAAAAAAAAAAAAAAAACAGGCATGGTAGCACACAACTATAATCCTAGTACTCAGGGCTGAGGCAGAAGGGGTGCTATGAGTTTCAGGCCAGCCTGGAGTACAAAGTGAAACACTGTCTCAAAAAGAAAAGAAAAACTAGAAAATAATCTCAATAGTTATTATTTCATGGGGAAAAAAAGTGTTATACTATTCTCTGTATATTTTTGTAACTTGAATTTCTTAGAATACTGGCATGAAGAAACATGAAAAAAATTAATCTTCTACACACCAGTTCAGGGACATAAGCCAAGAATAAGCCAAGTGAGACCTGACATAGTCATGGCCTTCTCAGCTCTCTGACACCAGACCAGACCCTGTCATCCTTAGTGAATCTGCATGTACTGGTCCTGGTGTCATGCCTTCAATGTTTGCATCCCAGAACAGAATATCAACTCAAGCCTCTGGGCTCCCATGTGATACACTTTATTTTTCTATCTGGGGTCCTTGCTGCCAAGCTACATGGTCTGAAGGGAGAAATCAGACCTAACTTAGCCCTACCCTTCAACAAGTCCATGGTACAAAGAAAAGAGGACAAACACGAGTGTGGGTCAGTATCTCAGTGTCCACAGCAGTATCTGTGACTTCAAATCCATAATGAGGCTAAATAAAAAGTTTAAATAATACTTAAAAAAAAGACAGGCATGGTGGTGCACAACTATAATCCTCAAGGGATGACAGGAGTAGTTCCTGCTAAACTGCATTCAATATACTCCTTTTCTCTTTTTTCTTTTGAAGAACTTGCTATACTACCCAGGCTAACCTCAAATGATCTTCCTGCCTCAACTTCACCAAGAACAGGGACTACAGATGTGCACTACTACACTTGCCCCTGCTTCTTACCTCACAACTTGGTAAACTAACTGTGCCACACTTCACTGTTACTTTCTTCTTGGTGTCCTCCCTCAAACTCCTGGTTAGAATGAATTCATTTTCCTTCAACACTTGGCCTCTAGGAATTACAGCACACCTTTAATGTCAGAGGCCAGGTGCCACTGAGGAAGGGGGAAGGTCTCCTGCACTGGAGAGTTTATGGTCTGGAGGGAGAGATCAAGTATAGACCCAAGGAATGGTGAGAATTACCAGAAGTTCTAGATGTAAGAGAACAGGGCTAGAGATGTAGCTCTGTGGGAAAACATTTGCATAACATGCTCAGGCCCTGAGTGCAATCCTCAGCACCACAAAAAAGAAGAGGAGAAGGCAGCAGAGGCAGAGGAACAACAGATCAGATGCTAGTACAGGGAGGGACAACCATCTGAACCAAGCTTTGAAAGGTGGCAGAGTTTGTCCAGACACCAAGGGAATTTTTGTTTCCATTTTGCACTACTAAGGATTAAACCCAGAACCTTCATACTAAGGTACATACTCTCGCCACCTCCCCTGCTTTTTTTTTCTTTCTGAAATGAGCTAAGTTCCCTAGGGCTGAGTAAATCCTCCTGCATCAGCTTCCTGAGTAGCTGGAATTACAAGCCAGCTACTTGTGAAGTAATTGGAATATTAGGCCGAAGAGTTCAGGTCTACAGTTGTAGAGATGAGGTAAAACATACTTTCCTTTTGGAAGCTTTGTCAGAACTATCTGATCTTACAAATGCCCACACATCTACATGCATACATGAGATGCTACTCTTTCCACTCAACCAGAGTTGAGAACAGCTGATCGAGTGACCGCTGTTCTTCACAGGGTGGGTGCCTTATCCTCTTCAAGGGTGCTAGGAAAAAACCAGGTGGAGAACCAACAATTTAAGACTTTCTGTGTGCTCTCCATATACCTCTAGACACCTGTGTATCACCAGAAGGAATCCGAGTGCCAGAGTAACAGTGAGTGAGTGGCAAGATGGGTACACGATGTAAAATCTACAAGTAACACACTTGTCAGGACACTGGCCAAGTTTCAAGAGGCACTTACATCCAGAGCCACAATGCGGTGAGGCCAGAGAAGTGTCGAGTGCTCTCACTCAGGGGGCTCACTCTAAGGACCACATAAGTCCAGGGACAGCAGCACTTTACTTGCCTCCCCACAACTCCTGCCTTACCATCTCCAAAGTTCTGGGTTTTGTCAATGTCAGGCACCTCCTTTTTTCTTCCAGTACTGAGACTGAACTCAAAGCCTTTGCACTGAGATACATTCTCAGCCCTTATTTATTTCAATTCTGAGACACAGTAGGTCACTAAGTTGCCCAGGCTGGACTCAAAATTTGAGATCATCCTGTTTCAGCCTCCTAGAGTGCTGTTCATCACCATACCTAGCTAAAAAGCTAGGAGTTCCTGTTGCTTTTTGTTTTGTTGTTAAGAACAGAAAAAGAAAGGCAGGCTAGAAGTCAGATCACACTATCTTTCAAATGTTTGGAGACAGCAGAAATCACCAGGCTACATCTCTCCACCCCTCCTGGGAGGTATGCTTATCCAACTATGACAAGGAGGTGAGTTGTGTGCACCCACCTTCTCAACACACTCACTCACCTGGACAGTCGACTTCGTCGCTCTCATCCTCACAAGTTGGCCAGCCGTCACAGTGCCAAGAGAGGGGGATGCACTGGATGGCACCACTGCGACAGGCAAACTGCCCAGGGTTACACCGCAGCTCTATGGAAGCAAAGGGAAGCAAAGGCAAGAATTTGTTGAGGCAGCAACAGCAAGAGCAGAAAACTGGAGTGTCAAAGTCCTGCCACCAACAAGCTCAAAGACAAGGCAGCTACACAAAGCCTGCCTCTTCCAAAAGGCCTGGAAAACACATTCCCAAAGGAGCAAGCAGGAATTGTTATAGTACTGCAGCAGTGCATATATAGAGCAACAACACTCATTCCAAGACAATAAATTCTGCATCAGTTCAAACATACACTGAGTTTGGCTCTTGCTATCATTTGGATGTTGAATGTTCCCCAAGGCCCAGGTGCTGAAAGCTCCATCCCCAGGGTGACATTACTAGGAGGTACTGAACACCATTTGGAGGCAAGGACCTCAGGTCATTGTGGCACACCTCAGAAGAGAGTGTGGGCCCTAGCAGCTCCTCTCCACACATCCTGGCTCAACACATGAATACCAACCATCATGATGTGCTACATCTCCAAAGACTCAAATCAGTTGGGTAACCTGATCTTGGACTTGAACTTCCAGCACCATGAGACAAAATAAACTTCTCTTTATCTCTTAAGTAGCCTGAGTCAGTTATTTCAGTGTGGTGATGTGAAACTAACACACGACACATCTCTAATATACCAGACTAGCGACGAGTCAGAGATGAGAAAAAGGATGAGGAGACAGAAATGAGAGAAAAAATGCACTGCTCACCTCTTAAGGGATTCCGGATCAACAAGATAGACATAAACATAAACAGAGGCTTCTGACAGCAAACGGAGGCAGCCACCACTGGAGTGGTTCAGTGTGCCAAGACAGTGAAAGGAGGACACCACTTTCTCAACCAACAGCTCTAGAGTACTTCTTAAAAGAAGGGATTTGCCTGCATACTCAACGGTCATAGAAAACATCAAGGAAGGAATTAAACAACTTCGGAAATCAAATAACAATGTTAGTACAGTGCACCAGAACCTATGAGACACAATGAAAGTAGTTGTAAGAGGGAAGCTTATTGAAATCAATGCTCACATTAAAAAAGTTGAGAAACATAATAATGTAATGATGAACCTAGTTACTAAAAAAACAAAACAAAACAAAACAAACCCCACAATAACAATCCTAACCCAAAACAATTTAATGAGGAAAGCCATAAATGTCAGAGCAGGCAGCTGTGGTGGCACATACCTGTAATCTCAGCACTTGGGAGGCTGAGGTACAGAGAGTTTGAGATCAGCCTGGGCTAAAACGTGACCTCCAAGGCCAGCCTGAGCTGCACAGCAAGACCCTGTCTCAAAAATTAACAAAACTGAAACAAAAATTTAAAATGACTTGTAAGAGCTGTTTTTAAAAAAAAAAAAATAAACAAAATAAACCCTAAAAAAAGAATATGGGATTTGCCAGGCCTGGTGGCCATGCATGTAATTCAAATGCTCAGGAAACTAAGGCAGGAGGATCACCCCAAGTCTAAGGCCACCCTGGGGTACACAGTGAGTTCAGGGCTAGCCTGAACAACATAGTGAAAGGAAAAAAAGAGAGAAAAGGGGGTGGGGCTTGCAAAACTGTTTCAAAAGGACATGTGATGTGACAAGAACAGCACTCTGGGAAAAGCAGGGCTCAAGGAAATATCAAGGAGTGGAGGGCTGCCGAATGAGGAAGCTCTGCAGGTAGGATCAAAAACACAAAAAGGATCAGCTGTGGAAGCTTTGAGGGCAAGGGAATTCTAATTTTATCTGATAGGTAGGTTTCAGGGAGCCAGACCTTACTAAGTCAGCAACATGACAGGTAGATTTAGACAAGGTAAAGCTGACAACAATTTCTGAGAAGCAATTACAAAACAGGGATGGAAGGAAAATATTAAATATTCAGGATAGCACAGGCTTGAACTGAGGCAACAAGCTACAGCTCATGAGCCAAATCTTGCCCTTTTCAATTTTTTCCTTTTGTTTTTTGCAGGGCTAGGAGTGGAACATAGGGCCTCCCACATGCTAGGCATGGGTTCTACTATTTGAACTACATTCCTACCCCTTAAGAGAGTTTTTAGGGGCCAGGGAGATGGCTCAATGGAATAAGCGCTTCCCTGGCAAGCGCAAGGGCCTGAGTTCAATCCCTGGTTCCACAAAAAAAAAAAAAAAAAAAAAAACCACACACAGAGAGAAAGTTTTTAAATAGTTTTATAGGAATAATGTTGGGCCAGGGAGATAGCTGCATGGAATAAGTGCTTGCCTGGCAAGCTCAAGGTCCTGAGTTGGATCCCTGGTACCACAAAAAAAAAAAAAAAAAAAAAAAAAAAAAAAAAATTAAAGCCCAATGTACGTTCAAAAAAAAAAAAAAAAAAAAAAAACCAAAAAAACACCACAAAACGAGTATTGTGGGTGGATGCTTTCAAACTACAAGAGCAGTGCAGACTGCAAGAGAAACCTGTATGGACTCCCCAACTAATAGTTACTCTCTAGCTCTTTAAAAAAGTTTGCAAAAAAAATAAAAAAAAAAACTAAAACAGTCTGCAAATTCCTGACCCAAAGTGCTCTCTAGTAAAGGGGTAACCTTGGAACTAATGTATCTGGTGTTAAAAGTAAGCACTGATGATAAAAGAGGAAAAAAAACAACCACAGCATGCTACTGTGTTTGCTCCTTCAATTGTTCTTCCAGAATCATTTCACCTAAATCAGGAGGGAAAGCAAACTATTTTTGCAGCTAAGCCTATTTTATCACTACTCTAAGAAATTAAGGCCAAATATTAATTTATCAAGGAAATTTAACTCACCTAAGCAAGTAGGAAACACCACCTCAGCTAAGTCCCATAACCCAAACATCATCCCCCTAAGAGCAAGCCTCCCAGGCAATGTGAGCTTTGTGTGGAAGAGCACTCTGTGAGCAGAGTCTGGCAAAAGGCACTGTCCCAGAGCCATGCACCTCTCCTTGGAGGGTCCTCTAGTCTAAGACAGGCTGACTTCCCAGATGGACAAGGGAGCAAAAGCAAAAAGAACTGTTACTTTCATGTTCCTTTCCTCTACCACTTCTAATGCTGCTGGAAATGAAGTCAACAGAACCTAGAAGAACAGTAGTCTGAGGTGGAGGTGTTCAGTGGGACAGCATGGACTTTGCAGGCACAAGTCCTGGGTTTAATCCTCAGCACTTTAGCATTTTTCTGTATGTATGTATGTATGCATGTATGTAAAACCCTAATAGTTACAACACTTTCTATTTTATAAATTCATTTGGCCAAGGAGTTATAGCAGCTGGATTTAACTGCTTGAATAAAAAGCATGAGAAAAGGAGAAGGGATGGGGGAAGGGAGATGAGATTAAAAATTAATGAGGGAAAAAAATCCATCAGAAATGACCAGAAATGGTATAAATAATAGGACCGATATGAAACGTTGTTACAACTGTATTGTAAATGCTCAAGAAGCTAAAGGAAAAAAATCAAACACACTGAGCAGAGATGTGAAGATACAGGAGGATCACTACGAGTCCAGTCTGTGTAGTGAGACCCTGTAGACCATGTACTAAAAAATACAAAAAAAAAAGAGAAAAAAAATTGGAAAAAAAAGACAGTATAATCCTTTAAACTGCATGAAAGAAAAACTACTATAATTGCTAACCAGTCCACAAATCAGAGGTTTTAATACACTGCGACAGAAAAAGCAGACCAAAAACTAACAACCCTCGTGTTTAGTTGGTTCCAGAACAGCCCATGCTCTCCATGTACATAAAAAAGGAAGGGCCTAGGCCCTCCAATTGGGCAATCAATGTGCAGTAGCTATAAGAAGAAGAGCCTTCCCTATTGGAGAAGTTTGACATTCTATCATTCACTTGCAGAGTATGGAAACACCTTGGAGCAAGGCATTTCCTCAGACATTTACTGAATGCCTCCTTGCTCCAGATGTGGGTGTGGGATGTGGTATGGGAAGTGGGACTAAAGATATGTCTCTGTTCTTATGCTGTAAGGCAGTGATGGTGAACCTTTTAGAAACCAAGTGTGCAACCTGTAAACCAAGATCTACTTATCTATCACAAAGTGCCAACGCTGCAATTACACCTCAATACTAAGGTTTTAGTTTAGAAAAAACAACTCATACATTAATATCTTTTTTTTAAAAGAGCTTTTAGTGATACAATTTTTTCTTAAAAGATAAAAGCTTGCATTTGGTTGCTTACTTAATATTATCCTTGCTGTTGTAAGCATGCTGATAATTTGTCAAACCTTGGCTCATATTTCCTTAGAGAGCTACACATCCAGCCTTCAGATCATCTGTTAATCTGTTTCTTCTATCACATTTGATATAATTCAAAGCTGAAAACTGATGCTCACAAGCACAAGAGGATCCAAACCAAGTACAAAAAACAATCTCAAGTGTTTTCACTGACTTAAAATTACCTGACAGGCAATTCCACACTTTAACTTTTAAGGCCTAAGTCTGGGTCCAGGGAACCCATCCTTTATATTTCTATTGTACATTTCTTCTTTAGCATTATAGTAATCAGCAGTGTTTCTCAGTACTTTTCCTTGAGGGATAAGAAATAATCTATGTGTTTACCCACTTGGTATGATAAATGGCAAGAAGTATGAATGTATGCAAACTGTTAAAACAGGATTTAGGGGGCCGGGGAGATGGCTCAGTAGAATAAGTACTTCCCTGGCAAGCGCAAGGGCCTGAGTTCAATCCCCGGTTCCACAAAAAACAAACAAACAAGAACAACAAAAACAGGATTTAGACTCAATTTTATGTTCGAGTTATCTGGTTTTTCATATGCTTACCAGAGCAATACAGAGGGTCCAATAGACTCACAATACTCCAGGATTTGTTTTTAAAAAAATAAGATTTCAGACCAGAAATGTAGCTAGGCAGTACAGGGCCTTCCTGGCAAGCATGGTGTCATAATTTCAACAGCCAGTACCAATCCCACCCTCCACCCCAAATATTTCACTTTTATAGTAGAAGTACCCCCAGTTCAGTATAATGGCCCATGAAAACCCAGATTTCCAAGTTTGGAGGAGGTCAGAGT